AATCAAATCAAATATAAATTTGTATTTGTATTTGATTTGATTTTCAAATCAAATATTCAAATATCAAATTGAATTGCGTAACCCTAGCATTCACAGCCACTCGCATGGTAACAATATAAATTTTTGCTTCTTCTTAAATCTGTTTTGTCTGTAATGAAAACAAAACAGCGGAATGTTTGATAATTTGGGTGGTATGCTATTAAAATTGAGGTATGAGACATAGTAAATCATATGATCTGTACCTCAATTTTAATAGCACACCACCCATTTGGTCTTCTAGTCGTTTTACAACTTTCTAAACCTTTAATAATTTTGTCAATGTTTTTAATTTCGATTGTCCAATAACTTTCACAATAACTTATGATTTCATTGATCTTTTTAAGATATTCTTTCATTTCAGATAGACATGGTGATATCTCTTCAACTTCCTTTGCTAAGTAATTTAGAACATTACTGCAAGCTGAATATGCTCTAGCTTCATTAGCATGATTGTTGGCAACGACTGCATTGTAATATGTAAGATTTGGTTTTTTTAATGTAAATGTATAAATTTCTAATCATAAACAATTTTAAGAAATAAATATCTTTAATAAATTACCCGCCAAAAAATGCTATTGCGTCAATTCCAACGAAAGTTTCTGCTATCAAAGATACTCCATCTGTGAATAGAGCTACTTCAAGCGCAACTGCACTGCCAACATAGGATATGAATTTATTATTTTTAACAGCCAAATATTCATCATTTTTTACCTCATCAACTTCTTCAATACATTTACGTAAATTATTCCTAGTTTTATTAATTTTAACATTATGATAGTAATGTCAGTAGAAATAGTTTCCAAACGAGTTTTAATTTTGACTAAACAATCCTTAAATAATTCAGAATTATTCTTATTTAACTTAGCATTACTCAAAGTTGGCCTTAATAATTTCAACAGTTCATCATTACTGATATCATCATTAATACAGCAATCAGCAAATAGAATAATGTCATTTGCATGAGAACTGATTTTAAGAATATTAGTTATTGATTGTTCAGCAAAATCTCGAAATTTAATCTTCTGCTTAGAAATTTTCTTAAGTTTCTCTTGAACAAATTCATTTTTTTCAACTCTAAGTCGTTAAATTTTAGAAAAATATTCGATAGATTGAATCATTTGATATTATAATTCAATTATGTTAGGCGTGTCCAATGCAATTATTTTTCAAATAATCATTTTTATTTTGCATTAAAATTCTAAAACAGAATTGCATTTTTATTATTTCTTTTTAAATTGAAAATAAAAAGGTAACACAAAATATATAAAGAATTTAATTTCTATAAACAAGAATACTCTCCAATACTGTCTCAACCAATTTCAGGGTCAAAGAGTTTAAATATGTTAGAAGTAAATCACATGCATATTTTTCGATTCACGTAGGTGGCTTATATATCATGTATAGTAAGTACATCATAGGTTTACAGATCGTACGAGCCACCAATTAGAGAGTCTTATATAATTTATCTCTTATATAACGCGATTTTGAAACTCTGACATGCTGATCATGCTGATATTTTTTCCTTAAATAAATTTCACGTTGATATATATTTTTTCTTTTATTGAACTGATTGAAATGGTTGAATGGAAGTCCACATTGCAATGGAAAAAGGTAAGTTACAACTAAAGATGGGAACTGTAATTAATATGTTACAACTTTTATGTTGCAACTTACGTTGCAATTAGTTTTAACCTATATATGTTGTAACTTATAATGTTGCAACATATGTTGCAACTAATTTTAGCTTATGTTGCAACATTTTGTAAATTTGAAATCAATTGCTATACCATCTTTAGTTACAACAGTTCGTATTTTCCCCTTTGAGTTGTTAATTTAGAACTCTAGAAGCATAATTGACTTCTCCTCACCCTTTCTTGTAAAAGTGGGGTTTCTTTAATTAAAGACTACTGGCTCTGGAGGAGAAGCCGGTTATATACCTACCTTTATAAATAAAGAAACTTGTCTGTGAGTGGGAGGTCAACTACCCTTCTTTCGTAGAAGTGTAACCACCATTCCTTTATAGAAGTGTAGCCACCCTTCCTTTATAAAAGTGCAAATATTCTTCCTTCGTGAGAGTGCAATCACCCTTCCTTCGTGAAGGTGTTATTAAATTTTTATTATTATTTTATTAATAGGCAGAAAATGCTGTAGAAAGTCGGAACTTTCAGTGATAGTTAGAGGTGACATCACAGGCCTTGATTATGATGAAATGTCAGAATGCATCAAAGCTATTACGAAATTTAATTTTGTCCATGTGCAGAAAAAGGAGGATAAAGGTAAATTATTAATTGTTATAATTTATTCATTATTAAATTACTAATAAATGGTTTTTCAGTTTTGGTCATGTTTATTTTGAATCATAAGAAAAAGCATCTCAGTTTTATTATAATATGATGAAGAAGCGTTTCTATTATGATGACAATAAAGAAAGAGGTCTAATACACTTTTATGATGCGACTTATTATAATTCTACTCAAAAGGTTGTTTATAAAATGGTAAATTTTTTATTTTATTTATTATTATAAATTAACCTGACAGTTCAGATAATGTAAAAAAAAATTTGTTGTGTATTTAGGATACTGAGACAGCTAATACTGGAACCTCAACTTCTGTTTTATCAAGAGTTGAGATTAGCGATCATAATAATATAAATGAGAATGAGAGGTCTAAAAAACGTAAAATAACTGAAAAGAGAAAATCTCCTGAATCTCCTGTCAGTGTGGTATACGTGCTCTATGAAGACAAGTATTTATCTATTCTTTAACTAGTGCCTGACCTATTCCATTTAATTAATTAACTCAATAATAATCTCTATTTTTTGGTACTTTATTACAAAGCCATATATTTAATATAGCTTTGCATACACCTGGCATTAGAAACAAAGCGGATCTCTTAGTCTCTTCTGTTAGCGATAAGTTGATCATTATTGAGAAGAATTTCAGTGAAAAGTAGTGATACCTGACGAAATTACCTTTTTTAATATGACGAAATTGATAAAACTGAAATGACGAAACTAGTTTTTTTATTAATGACGAAATTATTTTACTTAATTGCCGAAATTATATTTAACTTGATCTAAATTCCTTGAATTAAAATACATTAAAAAATATAATAATTTTATATTTATTCATATAAAAATATTAAAGAGACGAAACTTTTGACAAAATTACAATTTTTCAAAAAAGAGTTTAGTCAGGTATCACTAGTGAAAAGACTGTTCCTGGAAAATCTATCAAAAATTTCTTACCCATAGGACCGTTCAAAGCAGAAGTGGAACTTCCAAGCGGGTGAGTTATATAAAAATATAATTTTATTGTTTTATGGTCGCTTATAACTGATATATCTTTCTTAATAGAATTAAAACCATTTCTGTTAAAATTGAAATTGAGCATGGTGTGTCAACTGTTACATTGGAAAAAAGCAAAAAAGTTTTTGAAATAATCTAAGGTTAATTGTAATACTTAATTAAAAATCGGATGTATAATAACAGAAATTAGGTAGAGATTCAATTGATTAATTGTTGGATGTATAATAACACTAATTAGATAGAGAGATTAAATATTCAATCAAGGCTTTAATCTATAATCTAATAAAATTTAATAAATGCATTTTAAAAATCCAAAGAAGATCTTTATTACATTTTTTTTTGTAAAGTAATACATTGAAACCAGTAAAAATGAATTTAGCGAGTTTCAAAGGAGAAATAAGCATGATATGCCTGCCCGCCCCTAGACGCTTGCAAAGTAAGAATGGCAGTTCCTTCCTGATACTCTGCATTGTTAAGTTTGCTATTTACCCATAAACCAATGTACTCATATACCCATCCTCCTTCTTAATATTTCTTTCATATCAAAAATAATTTTTTTCGGGGTACTTCTTCGCAGTAAGTACGCCAATGAATTATATCCGCAGTTGGAATTGGGCATATGATTTAACTACACCCTGTGCTATTTCAATTGCTCCAGAACCGGCTAGGAATATATCACGTGCCGGTGCTTTTTTGATGAATATGAGATCGGGCTAATCATTAAGTTTCAAAAAAAAAAAAATTCCCAAAAATTGTTTTAGCATTTTGAAAAATGACAACCGAGGAACTTCAGACTCTTGTCCTTACAACTCTTGATGCTAAGGGAACGATTGGAAATACTAAAGAAATTAAAGATTCTGATAACAATGAAGTGGATCAGCTAGCATTATTAGGCGCCTTGAAAAGTTTGAGTTTGGATAAAGAGGTATTTTTGTGAATGCAAATTCACCAATATTGCAAAACTTTAATTTACAGTTCTCATCTCATCTATATTATGAAATAGATGATCAGATATGAAACAATTGATGATGAAATCTGGGTACTTACAGACGAAGGGAATGAGATCGCGGATAAAGGTAGCCATGAAGCTAAGGTCTTTGAAGCCATTCCTGCTGGCAAAGAAGGGATAACTATCTCGGAATTACAGGTTTCTGTACATTTTAAATACTTCTCGTTTTTATTTAATATATACATGAAAAATAAAGTATTTTTCAAATGTAGAAACTTTTGGGTGACGTTACTAAAATCGGTCAAGGGCAAGCCTTTAAAAATAAATGGATCACTAAAAATGGAAACAATCTAATTCGTGCTGTAAGTTTAGCATCATGTAAATATATTGATAATATTTTAATATTCAAACTAATTAATAATTTGTCAATAATATAATTCTTTTTATAAGAAAGGTTGACTCAATTGAAGACCAAACACGTTTTGATTTAAAAACCATTCGCTCGACAGGAAAGCATTCTAACCCAAAGGTGTTGTCCGAGTTAAAAAAAAGGAAATTGTGTGATAAACAGTATGTTGTTTTATTTATTATTATTATTATTTTATTTTTACATTTTTGTGATATTTGATCTTTATTTAAATCCATATTTTTAGCAAAATTATTTCTTATTCAGTCACAAAAGGGCCACAATTTTCTCTGACTATTGAGAAACAAGCACGTGACATAACTGCTGAAATGCTCCAAAGGTATTACAAAAGTAATATTTCAATTTATCCATTATTTTTAGTATTAATTCATTATTCCCTTAGTGGAGAATGGAAACAAGCAAATTTCAAGAAATATAATTTTGATGCTCTCGGTATACCTCCTTCTGGTGGTCATCTACACCCGTTGATGAAAGTTCGCGAGGAATTGCGACAAATTTTCTTTGAAATGGGGTACATTTTTTGTGTATCATTTCTACAAAACAACTTAAATTATTAATAATTTAAATGTTCAAAATTATATTAGCTTTGAAGAGATGCCAACTAACAAATTTGTCGAATCGTCGTTTTGGAATTTTGACGCGCTCTTTCAACCACAACAACATCCTGCACGTGATGCACACGACACATTTTTCTTAAAAGGTAAAGTTTTATTTAAATCTAATTCGATGCATTACAAGCGAATTTCTTATAAATATTTTCAGGAAAAAATTAGATCCTGCAATTAGCACACAGTTTCCTACCGAATATCTTGAACGTGTTAAAGAGGTACATACTAATGGTGGATATGGTTCCATTGGATATGGTTATAACTGGAAAATAGAAGAAGCGCAAAAATTGCTTCTGAGAACGCACACTACTGCTGTGTCATCTTTCATGTTATATAATCTTGCTCAGAAAAAGGAATTTAAGCCAGTGAAATATTTCTCTATAGATCGTGTTTTTAGAAATGAAACTGTTGATGCTACGCATTTGGCTGAGTTTAATCAAGTGGAAGGTGTTATTGCTGATAAAGGTCTAACACTTGGAGATTTGATTGGATTTATGGAAACTTTTTTTGGGAAAATGGGTAATTTATTTTGAATTAACACCTTCAATGCATTTTATTTTTTTTTAAACCTCAAGTAAAAATTAATTTATTATTAGGAGTTACAAATCTCCGATTTAAACCTGCTTACAATCCATACACTGAGCCCAGTATGGAAATTTTTTCATATCATCAAGGTATAAAAGGAACTGATAGATTTGATATGTTGAATTTACATTTGGAAACTTAAAATAATAATTTTATATGACTTGTTAAAACTTAGGCTTAGGAAAATGGGTCGAAATTGGTAATTCCGGTATGTTCCGTCCTGAAATGTTAGAACCCATGGGATTAGATCCAGAAATACGTGTTATTGCATGGGGATTAAGTTTAGAGCGACCTACTATGATTAAATACGGAATAGATAATATCCGTGAGGTAAAAATGATCTCTGATTCTTGCTGAACTATCTTTAAATATAAATTGGATATTTATTTATTTAATTTTTTTTTTTTTAGCTGCTTGGACATAAAGTAAATCTATCCATGATTGAAAGTAATCCTATTTGCGCATTTGATTTGATTTGAAATTTCTAATCACAATAAAACCTTAATAATAATTATTTAATCTGATCCATGTAATGTCATTCTTATCTGTCGCTCTTTCAACTTTACATGTAACACAAATACATTTTGAATTTTCCCTTTCATTATGTATTTGCCAACATTGAACACAAAATCTTCTGAATAGTGGAATATTAGTAAATGTTGGCAAATCTTGATAAGAAGTGGTGCTTATTTGTTGATCATCTATAATTTTATCCAATTTCCAAGTATATTTCATGTATTCAATTATAGGTTGTAAAAATAATGAAGAGGAAGGTGAAATGAATAAACGACAAGATTCACATAAAAAACCTTGTTGAATAAAATTGATAATTATATCTGGAACAATTTGTTGTTGAATATTTGTGAAAACTTTTAATTTTCTTCGTTTAAGAGGAATTTTTTTAAGAATAATTGCTTGTGCACAAATATCCATTAACCGAGGTACATCTTCACGATTTATATTATTAACATTTTGGAATTTGTGAACGTTTGTTTTCAAAAGAGGATTGGATTTAACTCCCAAAATTACAGTGTTTCGAGCTATCTTTGTGATATATGGTGGAAAATATTGAAAGAGGTTGTGAGAAATACAGAGAACTTTTAAATGTCGAAAATGAAGGATCTCATAAGGAAAATCTTTTGTTTTTTTTAAAAAAAAAAAAGAAAGGTCAATAATAAAAATTATATATAATAAGGAAAGACAATTGAAATACCTCGTAACCTATTCCTCGACAGATCCAAAATAGTCAAAAAGTCTAGTTCAAATGAGACGCAATTTACAGTCATTGAAAATGATTTATAATAATTAATCATATTAATAATATGTTTCATGTATTGTGAACATTCATGAAGGTTTAGATTTCTTAATGAAAGGTAATAGTGTGGTGGAATCGTTAAAAATTTTTCTACAACATCTACAACCCTAACATTAGAAGATGAAATTTTGATGGGCGGAGGATTTTTTAGATATTCTAAAATGATAGAGTTAAATAACCTTATTAATTGTTGAGATCTTTGTTGAACTGCATTACATGCTTTTGCTTCTCCAGATTTCAAGTTTTTTCTGTATTTTTTATCAACAGGGTGTTTTTTAAAAAATTCATCAAGTTCAAGGAGAAAACGCGCTTCATAAAAAAAAAATATATTTATATAAAGATCGATGTATAAATAAAAAAAATAAAAATAAATTTAAATAAATAACAATAGATAAATTATTTACCAAGTATTGGAGTGAATAAACCCAGTGGATTAGTATTATTTGACTTGAATGCTTTCTCAAGTTTTTGAATCGCTGTAATAATTTATTAGTAAGAATCAAATTACACGAATAAATTATTTGAAATTTTAATAATTTACCTGCTAACAGGTTCGACCATTCAGAAGATAACATAGCTTTCTTTGCATTCAAGACAAAATTCATCCATTTTTCATACTTTTTATTACGGGAAGAACGAGAATTATCTGCTTTTATATTGCTTTCCAATATAAAATTTTCAATCTCAGTTGAACTAGCTTCATCTTCAGAACTTGGATAAATAGAATCTGAAGACGAACTATCATCATTCTTTTCGGAAATTACATGAGCTTTTTTTGACATAATCCTAATAAACTGAAAAATGAATTTTAATAAATTACAATAAATAGGCAATTTTTAAAGTTGATTGGATGATAAATAAATATCACAGGAGATCTACATCATAAAATACTGTATTTAGGGTAGGGTACCGATCTTTTAGCATTGTCTTGAGGTAAGACTAAAAAAAAGTGTCAAAACATGAAAAATAACTTGTTATTTTTAAATATTCCTTTTGGAATCATATTGTAAATTTAGTATTATACTGATAGAAAACCAATTTTTTCGAATATCAATCGAAGAATTACAATTGCTCTAAAAGAGAACGTGTATTATGTATTATTGACGGGATGCAATACTTAGTAAAAGAAATACTTGATTTGTATTTTACCTATACATTCATTCTGTTATTTGTTGAAAAAAAGCTTTATTGTTTTTCAATTACTATATTATATTTTTTGCAAAAATCATGATTATTGGGTATTGATAAAATATACTTTTCATTAATAGCGAATTTAATTGAAAATGCTGCAGTAAAAACCTTCCCCTCCAATGAGGTTTTGTTTTATATTAACATATGGGTTGTGAGCTAGGAAAATGAGGTTCTGGGACATTTTAACCAAAGTTAAAATTTTTACTTTATATTAATG